ACTCCAAACGATCTTGGAAATAGTATCTATGGCCTCTCACTTTTCAATCGCCAACTTAACCTCAATCAAACATTAATTGAATGTTAAATATATGTGAGTGGAATACAAACCGAGTACCGTCAAGAGACACCCCCAGATCCCATCTCCTTTACTACCGCGAAGTCCCGAAAAGAGGCCACTTCCATAAAACTACGAAAAGCGAAATTTCGCCGCAAAGTGAATCGGAAATCTGCCGTGCTCTCTCGCCAACGAACCAGTTCCCGGTTGGGTGGTTGGGAGGCGTCGCGTCGGTTTGGCTCGGGGCCCAGTCGGGCCGCGAACGCCGCCGCCCTCGTCCCCTCGCCCCCGCCCCTCCCTCTCCACCTCCGCGCGGTCGCAGGGGCCGTGGGTCGCCAGGCACCTCCTCGCCTCGCGCTCACCTTCGGCCACCCCCGCACTTCCGCTGACACCCGCCGAGTGTGGGAGGCGTCGCGCCGACGCCTGGCTCCCACTTCACTGGCTCTCGCCATTCAGCGAAAACGTTCACGGAACGGTGATTCGTAAATCAAATAACGAAGGTACAGGAATGCTTGAGAAAAAGGAAATTAGGCCTGATAATGTGAAAAGAAAGGAGTGAAACATTTTTTTAAATGAGTAAAATACAAAATTCTTATTAATAATTAGAATACCTTACAGATAATTTCCAATACTACAATTATCAATCTTTTCATAGCTATAAATTAATACTATATTTACACACATCAAAATGGCAAGTCCAGTGTGTGGAGATGCTGCAGACGACAAATGTTAAGAATGGAATAATATATTAATGAAAATAGCGTGAATTCTGAAGGAAAACCCAACAAATGACAGTGAAATTGTGGAGGTCTAATAATGCTGGAAGAAATGGTATGTTCATATACGATGAAAATGTAAATGCCGAATGAAGAATCTACGAATAAAACTAAAATACTGAAAACAACGAAATGAAAATTAAAGTTGAGAAATGCGGAATAATAGGATAAATGTGATGAATATGAATTAGACAAAACATAAAAACGTGGGTACAGGAAAAGTTGAGAAAAAAGTAACTGACACTGAGAAACACGACTACATTTTTGTGCATTTCATGTTCCCTCCCCCCACCTGAAGAACATGAGAAGAAGACAAAATTCAATTACTTCTAAATATATTTAAGAAGGGTACACTTCAAATCCAATGCAACTTTTAAATAATTCTAAATAATCGAGACGATATTTCCTGGAAGCTAAAACAAAATTATGCAGGCAGTTTCTTTTTCTACATTCGGATCGTTAATTCTTTACGCACGCTTTCAATCCAAAGAAACGCTCGAGTCTTATTTTGCTTGATTAGAAAACATGCAACGCGCTTAACTCAGAAAGTGAATACATTTTAATAAATCCTTAACAACTCTATTCATGTTACATAAGGAAAATCACTGAGAATAAGAACATGGCTAATGCTCAGTTCACGACAGGATTAATTAATGCATAATCACATTTGCCTACTGTAGAGCTATTGAAATGTTACTTACCGACTACTCTGTGATGGCGTACAGTAGCATTCATGATCAAAATACCATGTTCAGTCGCGAAACGTACATAACCAAATCACGCCGCCTGGTCCTGCCTCCGCTCACTGCGTTCTCGCGCAAAGTGACGCCGCCGTTTTCAGCTCCACGGCTCGGGGCGACGTTTCCATTTCGGCGACAGCTGCACAAGCTTATTCTCGTTGCCGCGATTTCGGAAACCCCTTGCATTGTGTTTTCCCCCTTTCGCCCCAAAATCCTGGCCCGAAGCCCACACGCTCGCGACGACCCTGGGTGGTGGGGGGAGCGAGAGGGGAGGGACGGGGTGCAAAGATGGCAAGCCTCTGCGTCGAGAGAGGGCGGAATGGGGGAGACTGCGTCATAGCAGCGAGCGCACGCTGACCTAACTTCACGCCGAGGCTGCGGACTGCTTCGAGGCGGTCGATGGGGGCGGTGGCAAGTCTCCTCGGCGATTTGGGAAATAAAGACCGAGATTACGGAAATGGGAAAATGGAGATAGCCAATGCGGAGAAGGTCACAGAAGTAGCATCAAGAGAGATTAGTAAGCGTTTGGAACTTTCGAACGATATGAAGGAAAAGATAAGGTTCTGAACCAAGGTCTAAGCCTCTTGTATTAAACATTTAAACTAAGTTTTCCACTAAATTCTACTCAAGAGTTTCATACACGCCTTTTAAGACGTATCCTTTCCACTATGTTCCTCTCCGTTCTTGAGTACCGACTACTTTTCACTTTTAAGTGGGTCCATATCATTTACAGAAAATGGACAATATAAAAGTTTACGTCAAACAATCTTGGCAATCGCTTTTCGCTTGTAAATCACACTGAGATGGAATTCGTGAAATATAACCCATTGACAGACAATTCATGAGATTAATTCAATAGATATTGCGAACGGTTGAAGGTTGACGTATTTCTGTTTCAAACTACCCCAAACTATAGTAATACTAGTATAGGCATTAGAATATGTTATTATTTTTCATTTTAGTAATATCAAATCTAGTCTATAATGTTAATAAATAAAATCCTAGCCTAAAATACATCACCGAGAACATTAGTATGCATTAACAATAACACAATTTTTTGGGTAGGTTCTGATATTGATACGGGAATGGTTTAGCATTTTTCATCTCCACGGACAATGGCAGGTATAGAGAACATATCAGCAAACATGGTGAAGCGTGCAGGGGCAGCTGCAAATAGAGGAGAATGGCAACCGTGACGAAGGTGACAGCAGTAGAGGCGGCGTCGGCGACGAAGGCGGTGGCGGTGGCGTCGCGGGCGTCCCGGCCGGCAGGGAGGCAGGGGGGAGGGGCGCGGTCCGTTCAGGAGGGCGAGGCCGTTTTCGCACGCGCTTTATTCGCGCTTTTTCATGCAAATCCGCGCGGCGCGGCGCGGTGCGGGACACGGAGCGGGGCGGGGCGGGGAAGCCGCTGCCGCCGCTCGTTCCGACTCTGGCCGCCAGGGGCGCTCGTTTCGTTAATTCGCAGCGCCGGCGGTCTGCATCCGCGCCGGAAGATGTCGTAGTTTACGCGGCTTGTGTCGACGCCCCCCTTCCCCCCCCCCACCCGGCTCCAGCGCGCTGCGCAAGGGGGAGGGGTTCGTTTAAAGCGATTCGTCGGAGCGGATTCGTTCTTGAAAATGCCCTTCGTGGTATTGTTGTTGGTAAGGCGACAACGATGTGCAAACACGTCGATATTTAAAAGAATAGAATCAGCATAAATCTCGTAAAAGAAAATGAAAATTTCATTTTCATTGCCTTCGCAAGGAGAAAATTTTATTTAACTTTGTACGTACCTATAACATATTACTATTTAATAAATATACAGTAAGAAAATCAATATTTTTAATTTTCGCAGGCCCAAGAGCCGAACCATGTATCCAATTTATGGTTTTGCAGAAAGGGCACGGAGGCGTTCGTGCGTATATAATGAAAACTGACACTTCACGGGTCACAGAACAATGCAGTGCGATTCCAGTTTTACAACACAGCAACCACGAGCGAGAGTACGAGCGAAATTATCAGTACGGTTTGTTGTCTGTTCTTGGAATATTGACAAAGCTGTTCTCTCATGTCCATAAAGGCCAATAATAGATCTTTTGCCCAAAGTGTAAAATAATAATAATAATAATAATAATAATAATAATAATAATAATAATAAAGAATTACGCCTTCCAACGCCACACAAACTAGAAATAGGTCATTTCCCCCATCAAATATTTCAAGAATAAACGTCTCAATTAGTAAGTGCAGGTGACTCTTCTCTTTCGCGGCGTACCCGAGTAGGTGTACATGAATCTCCGTCCCTGAACGTGCCCGCCGGCGTGAGAGGTTTCGGCGACTGGCAGAGAGGGGGTGGCCCCCATGGGAACCGCGCGCGACAGGGCACACCGGGCGACGACGACGGGGGTCGTGAGGTCCGTTAGTCCCGCGCCACGCCCCTCGCCCCCACAGGCATTACCACCCTCCGTCCGGCCGCCTCGACCAGGCGCCTCGCCCGCGTGCGAATGCGCGCGCGGAATCGTTTCGCCAGCTGCCGGTCCGCGCCGCGCCGCGTCGCGTCGCCTCGTAGCGGCCCCGCCCCCTCCGCCGCGCCCGCCCTCGGCCACTGGGGCGGCCGGCAGCGCCCGCCGCGAACGGACGTCTACCGCGCCCAAGGGGAAATTTTTCGGAAGGGGTTCGCCGTCCGTGCGGGTTTCGCACGCGCGCAGGTCCGCGTCACGGCTGAACGAGCGCGAAGAACAGCGCGCCGGCTACCGGTGGCACTGCCGTTGGCAATGCCGTTCGTATTAAGGGACGATGAAAACGCGACAGGAGCTGCATTAAAATGTAGTGCATTAAGGGACGAAACGACTCGCCAAGAAAATGTGTTTTGCGGACTGAAACCTTGTAATATTTTACAACTGTAGTGTTAGGCCATACTTGAAGCGATGATTTCCTTTGTGACGGATTCTTTGGGTAAACGTTTATCAGACTTTAGACCGTGGGTTGCATTTTTTTTATCAAAACATTCGTAATAAATAAGAGGGAGAAAAGAAAAAAATTAACGAAAGCTATGGTATTTAATTTGCAGTTAATATGACTTCCTTTACCAATGAAACAGCATACACCAGATTAGGAGACGAACCAATTGGCTATTCTTTAAAATCCATTTACAGTTAACATTAATAAAAATAACAGCTCCAACGGGAAACCCTGATTAATTGCCATTAAATATTATTCAAGTGATAGAATTATCTTTGCAAGTAAAAATCAAAGAACGTAGAGACATATATGTTTTACACTAACTCAAGTGCAAAATATATTAAAACAAAATTGCTGTTATTTGAAATTCATGATAAATGCAACGAAACTACAATACAATCAACGTCACTGTATCAATACCCATATCCAAATAATCCTACTCATTCTCCTGCAAAACCGGCCATTCCCTGCGCCGAAACACCACGTACCTGCATGCCCGTTCCAAGCCAGCAACATCTGCCTGAGCTTGTCCGCCTCCTTGCTCGCTCCTGGAGGCAGAGAAAGGGGGCCCACTGGAGGCGGAGGTGGAGGCGGGCGGCGCATGCACACACACCCAAGCTCTACTACGCAGGCACAGTGCGCGGGGGCGAGGCGAGGCGAGGCAGTGCGTTCAGTGCATGCACGGAATAAGAACAGGAGGACGAAGCCGTGGATTTTAAGGGCAAAATAATATTTCGGAAGGGAGGAAAAATGTATATTGTCCCATGTCCTAGGTTTGTGGTACGTACAAGAACCTAGAACGTAAATACAGCCCAAATTCTTAAATTGTTAATCGGTCTGGTAATACCCTTGCTCGCTACTAGATAGCATTATGACGATAGGCCTGTCTTTATCTCACGGTCATTGGCACTGCGAATGACGTGACACAAAATCCATGGCTGAGAATGAGATCTATACGAGAAGAGTTGTGTACGGAACTGTCAGCAACTCTCAGAGTCATTGACGAGTCGGTTTAATTTCAAATATATATTTCTATTTACATCATCCAATATAAACAATGCCTTTGGGGCGGTTTAAAATAATCTTTAGTTGGAATAAGTCATAAGATATTGGTGCTTTAATCGTGAGAGTGTAATGTTGAAGAGAATGACGGTTGGGAACGTCTAAATTCATTCATTTTAATTACCATCTCATTTCATTTTTGCCCAGAGATATGTTAGCCATTAATAGAAATGACTCAACGAAAAACACGCCCTAAAGATATTCTTCTATCGTCTGGATCGTGACATCCCATGTACTTTGGTATTAGGTTATTTAAACACTAACGCATGGAAAGCGTTTGTTTACAATATCTAAGAAGCCTCAAATGCTTTTACTTCATTCCAATAATCTTATCTTTCAAAACAGATGTGGGTCTTACATATAAAAACCATAATGATGTGAGGCTAAAAAAGTGATTTGCTGGCAATTTTCCAACTCGCAGGATTTCAACAACTGACCTAATTTCTGAAGGACATTCGTCTGAGAAGACGTCTACTCCATGACTCCACTATCACACCAAAACATCAAGTAATATCTATTCTCACGCATAAGCATAAGGTCAACACTTCAATCAACACGCTCCCCTACCAATGTTTGTGGTTGCAATTGACTCTGTTCGTTAATACGTAATTTTAGATAACGGCCTTGATTATGTATGAATGAATGAAACTGGCGCACGAATCGAATATTTGAAATTACATTACACACCCAATGCCCGTCATAGCAAGTTGAAAGAAACATCTCGAACCCATTACAAATTTACCTATAAAATAAAGCAGGGTATTGCACGTGAATGAGTAAAATGTTTACAGAATATCAGTATTTATTTTACTGAATGTATTTGAATACGAGATTTGGTAAGGCCTTATTTCAGTTTCACGTGTAATCTAATACCAAGAACCATCCCGAACGGGTAACGAAAACTATCTTACTCAAGTGTTAATACTACCCTAGTTACCTTACTACATTAAACTACCTTACTTACTAACCGAAAGCTACAGGAGTTTTAAAAAATGAAGTATGTTGTGCCTTTTTAATAAGCTTCTTAATAAGCACGAAGAGAAGAATACAGAAAAAAATGTACACAAATAATCAACAACGTAGTGTAGTGACCGCGTATATTTTGCACACGCAACAATCATATCAGAGAAACAAATCCTCTTGTGTTGTGTTTTCGCACCCCAAATACCTGTCGCCGAGCCCGCGCGCGCTCACAGGGAACTGTGCGTAAAACGGTGGTTCCCACGAAATGCCACGGCGTGCGTCGGGGGGTGGGTGCGGGGAGCAGAGGAGGCGTCGGGGGGGGGCGTGTGCATGCAGCAGCGGGCGCGTGCCGGGAGGCGGAGAGGGCGGGCGGCCAAAGCGCGGGAAGGTATAAGGCCCTAATACCCAAGCGCGGTACTCACCCGATAATGGTCGTCCTCGCTGCCGTCCGCTTCAGGGGTGGACACGTTATCCTGCAACACACGCACACAAAAATAACGTTAACACTAGTCTTCAATGCGCCCATATATTGCAACATATCCATTAAACTTTGATACTAATGATGTTACTGGAGAGATTGATGGTGTTCGTATCTCCATTTCATCTGACACCCTTCTCATTTCCTTTACCGTAGAAATTAATTTGACAAACAAAACGGAAATTACATCACGTGATCTACCTAACATTGTAACAATGGATCATAATCAAGACTGTGATTTTCTTTTTCTTTTCACAACAACCACAATGCGCATTTTAAAATTCAACAATGGTTCAATCGTCTGAATGTGTGAAGTTCATGTACGTGTTCGTTTTTACATGCACTTTGAACATATTCTATATTGACGAACAATATATTATAGAAGACAGCATACAACACACTTGTAAATGACAAATGTGTTGTATTTAAAAAGCTTAATTCACGCAATGCTACAAAAGGACGAACGTGCTCGCACTATATTCATGACCAAATATCAAATCTTCTATGTGCTGAGTATAGCAACAAGAACAGAATTAAAACAAAATTTTATTTACAACGTTTCACCGACGAAGACCATCGAATTCAGTTTTATTACTTGTATTCATTTGTTGGGCGGCACATCACCTCGGCATCCCATTCGGCCTCTAGAAGTAAAAAAACAAAAACAAAAAAAAATCCTCCCGGAGCACGCGTGTGTCGAACGTCCAAGGCGCACTCAAACCCCTCAGCGGCGCTCTCGGCCGCACAGTGGACGGCGGAGGGGGCAGGGCGAGAGGGAGGGGGGAGGGGTGGGCGAGAACGACGAGCGGCGGCGGCGCGAGGCGAGAGAGGGCAATCAAAAAACGCCGCCGAGCCTAATCTGTCGTCACAGCTCCCGGCGAGCGCGCACACACGCTCGCCCGCGGCGCGCGAGCACTCGCTCCCACTCGCCACGCACGCACGCACGCACACCGCGGGCGCGCCTCTTCTGTTTCCGACGCCGCCACGCCCCCGCCCCCGCCCTTCCGCGCCGACTGTACACAGTTAAAGACGCAGAAAATTGATAGATCAACAGGTGGCGAGCCGCGAACCCGCCGCCACTACACGCTCCCAAACACATCGGACCCGCGAGGCCGGCGCTTCATTGTGTTCCGTCCCTGCATGCCTCCCCGTCGGACACGCCCCGCCCCGCCACGCTCTTTGCGTTGCGCGGTGGGAGGAGACGCGGAAGAACAGCGGGCACGGGAACTACGATTTAGAAAGAGAATGATCTGGATTGATTATTTTGAGTTTCCGGGTGAGTCAACTTCTATGGTCATTATTGCTTGAGGCCCCCATGAGTGTAATGTATGTTATATCCCGGAAGGTGGTGGTGTTCCTCCCCGTTGAAACTTGAGATCCGGCGCCAACTTACACATCGGCTTGAGGGAACGTCTCTCCTCCACGTAACACCGCCAGCGGGCACCGCCCCAGACCGACAAGCATTAAGCAGGTCCTTGTGTGATGGTGTAGTGCATGTAAGTGGTGAGTGTAGGGCAAGATCGAAGAACAAGATTGGGAAAGAAAGATCGCGCTCGGTTCGGGACCGTGTGTTAAGTTACGACACCGGCATTCGCATGACACTGATCGGAGAAATCACGGGAAAGTAACAATTGGAGCCATTTTAGCCGGCTAAGGATCTGGAGAAAATGTAGATGACGCAGGTAGGGAAGATAGCAGCGTGAGGAGAAGTGGGATATCGAAATAGACCAAGAATACGTCAATGGAAACCAAATATCGCAAGGAAAGCAGTCGTAATCGGCAATTTTAGCAACGGAGCAAAGGGCGATGGTGATGTTGGTAACCGGGCTGGAGTAGGTGGCGGTGACGGCAGAGGCAGAGGAAGTCATGGAGTGCGCCTCAATGGAATGTCATCAGTGGCGACGACACAAAAGTGGAAGGGGTGCGATTCGTGAGCCGCGCGAGAGAGAGAGAGACGGTACTACTCGCGGTGATAAAGGGGTGATATTGACATCGCACAAACCATTGGTGTCGAGTTAAAAATGCTGGTCAGTAAGCATCCTTTGAAAAATGTCAAGGGTCCCATGAAATTAACGTCACAACGGATTTTTGTGAGATTGTTTTTTGAACCTTTTTTTAATTCATAAAACTCGATATTTTCACGTAAAAAATATTCACAAGGTACCATTTCAAGCAGAATATTTTATATTACCTGTCATTTCATATGAAACGTGAGAGAATACAGTTTACTAATTCAAGCTCCATCTCGTTTCATTAAAGTTTTCTATTTATTACATACTTTTACTTTTATTTAACTTTTCTACAATTCTAATAACTTTTTATTTCGATTTTGACAAACATGCACCGCGCTCTTTTAAAAATATCATGTTTACTACTTTCCTCAATGATAAATTTTAATAATTTACTTATTTTGTAGTTTATATTGCCAATTTTCACCTTAAATCATCACGACTATGATAATGAGAGATGTTTCATATTCTTCTCATTTATGCTGCTAATATAAAACCAAATTTAATCTGCTAAATACAAAACGTTGTAAAAGCAGTTTCTTTCCTAATCAATTATTAACGTTCGTGTTTCCACTTTGTTATCATGAACTGATTGAGGCAATTATTTCCCTTTTCTGATTGACATATTCCTAAAATCTGTCGTATTTCAGGATTCCGACGAATTCCCAAATTCGGATGGGTTCCCAGTTCCCGACTGACGTTTCGTCCAATCTCGCCTTCCCCTCCCATTTTAATCACCAGGGCGTCCCCGCCGCCCTCCTCCTCGGTCCGCCTGCCGCCAGCGGCCTCCAGGCGAGATGGAGGGCGCGCCGCAAACGTGGCTTGGGCTGGCGCCAGCCGCGTGACGCTGGGTGGGGCGGCGCGGGGCTGGGCGAGGAAGGCCGGGCAGGGCAAGGCAGGGCGAGGCGGCGCGAGGCGAGGCGAGGCGAGACGCGGCCGGGCGAAGCAAGTCGCCACGAGGCGAGACGGTTCGAGACGAGGAGGGAATGGCAGGGTCGAGCGTCGAGGAAGGCGGGGTCGCAGACGGACGCGGCAGG